GGGGATTCAGATTCTGCTTTTCTGGTAGTGGTGGATCTTCAGTGACATTGCTCGTGGTTAGAGTGAATGCCCTCCACCCACTCTGCTCGATTACCAACCAGGTAGCAGAGGTAAGAAGAAGTCAGAGGTAAAATCTCTGTATCTCCAACCCCACCACCACCCTTCTCCTTCAGACAGTGACTGACCTACTCTCCATGGAAAACCTTTCCTGTTTCTAATTCCTGAAACTCGCTCAATCGCTTGGAACTTCTCAGAACATCAGAAGGAAAAGCAGCCACCAAAGGTCATTCTAGGTATTCTAGTGAAATGAGTTTGGATTTGAGAGTACGGGAGGCTTCAGGTCAAAGTGACAAACTGTAGAATGCTTCAATGTGAGGGCCTCATTGAGAACTCAGTCTCAAAGGGAGAAAAAAACACAACCTCTTGAGCCAAGATAGTTCATTACTCACTGTAGAGTGAATGTGGAAACGTCCTTCCCCATAAATTTTGGCATCTATCAGATTACTATATTTACTATCGAGTTTGATAAGTGCATGTATGAAAGTGTGCTTTGTGTGTAAGTGTGTGCATATACAAGTGTGTGTGTACAAGGCTGTGTGTGCATGCAAGCGTATTTATCTGTATGTGTGTACAAATTGTGTACAAGTGTATGCACGTATATGTGTGTGTATATGTGTGTACAAGTGTGTGTGTGCAAGCTTGTGCAAATGTATGTATGGGTGTGTGCAAGTGTGTGTATGTGTATGTGTGTGTGCAAATGTATGTGTATGTGTGTGTGTAGAAGGGTGTGCAAATGTGTGTGCATGTGTGTGTGTATGTGTGTGTGTGTGTATGAATGTGTGTCTCTGTGTGTGTGAGTATAAGTGGGTTTGTGTGTGTATAAATGTGTGTATGGGTGTGTGTGTATGTGTGTATAAGTTTGTGCATGTATAAGTGGGTGTGTGTGTATAACTGTGTGTCCCTGTGTGTGTGTGTATAAGTGGGTATGTGTGTGTATAAATGTGTTGCCTGTGTATGTGTGTGTGTGTATAAGTGGGTATGTGTGTGTATAAATTTGTTGCCTGTGTGTGTGTATAAGTGTGTGTCTGTGTGTGCGTATGCACGCGCAAGTGTGTATATGAAAGAGCCAGGACAGCTAACAAGACATTGTGTACCTGATGTGTTACTGCAGCAGCATCCCCCTAGCTGACCTGTGGTGTGGGTCAATGACCAGAGCACTCATTCTACTGAGTGTCAGTATTGTCTGCTGTAGGATTCTCTTTGGTTCTTCACTGGGACATGTAGTGTCAGTCTGGACAAGCAGGAAGACACTGACGGCTGTAGGCATGTGTCTGTATGCATATATGTGTGTGTGCCTTTGTGTGTATGTGATACAGAGTCCAGCAGCAGGGAAGAGTTTGTTAGGGGGGGGTATGTGTGTGTGTGTGTGTGGGTTTTTATGTTTGTACTACAGAGTATCCAGAACAGGAAACTATGTTAAATATGTGTGCATTGATGTGTGTGTGTCTATTTGTGAGCATGTGTATGTTTATGTGTGTGTGTGTGTGTGTGTGTGTGAGTGAATGTGCGTGTGTGTATGTGAGAGTGTGTGTGTGTGCATGTGTATGTGTGTGTGTGTGAGAGAGTGTATGTGTGTGTGCATGTGTATATGTGTGTGTGTGTGTGTGTATGTGTGTGCATGTGTGTGTGTGAGAGAGAGAGATTGTGTGTGTGTGTGTGTGTGTGAGTGAATGTGAGTGTGTGTGTGTGTATGTGAGTGTGTCAGTGTGTGCGTGTGTGTGTGTATGTGTGTGTGCATGTGTATGTGTGTGTGCATGTGTGTGTGTGGGTGTGTGTGTATGTGTATGTGTGTGTGTGTGTGCATGTGTGTGTGTGTGTGTGTGAGAGAGATTGTGTGTGTGTGTGCGTGTGAGAGAGAGATTGTGTGTGTGTGCATGTGTGTGTGTGTGTGAGAGAGATTGTGTGTGTGTGTGTGAGAGAGAGAGAGTGAGTGTGTGTGTGTGTTAGACCTTGTTACATAGGTTGTTTATACGAGTGAGAACATTCACTGTGGTATACTGAAATAGGGTGAACGGGTGTAAATTGGCATCTTTCAATTAGCACAACAGTGATTGTTTTTGGCACAAGGTGGGACACAGTGCAGAATAAGGTCACACTTTAAAAAGCACAGTAAGGGGCTATGGATTCTGATTTAACATCTGAACAGAACCTATCCTCCCAGTTTACCATTGTCCACTGCTCCTGGCTGTATGATCCATTGGAACCATATGTTGGCTCTTCAAATGGTTGGGAATAAATGGCAACATTTAGGTTTAAAAAAGTGCTTAGAATGATCGTTCTATCAATGTTATATTAGAGTGGGGGGAGTGTTTTTGGCAAGCACCCAGAAAGGAACACCTCCCCATTGCTGTCTACGACTTGTGTTAGAGATTTTCCTCGTGGCATGAAACATGAGAATGTCACTATGTACAATATAACGTTCAACGTGATCTATTAGGAAAGCTAAGGGTTAAAGGATCTCAGATCCCAGTAGAGGTATACTCGGGTTGGGGGGACATCTATGAGAAATTGCGAAGCACAGAGACTAAAGGGTCAGTGCCTGGCACATTCCTGAAATGTGTTCTGGTTGTTCAGGGATATGGATGGACTTCAGAGCTTCCCTAAGGCTGTCCATGTAGAATGGAGGCCAAACTCTACTCCATCCTCTATATTGTCATTGGGTTTAGTTTTGGTAATTATGCCAAAAACAAGGTACCGATAGAAATTTTGAGATCAGACTGCCCGTCTTGGAATGATTCCTAAGTCAATAGAGACTGTGGGGAAGACCTTGAGGAGCTGATCGTGATGGGAAGATGGAGGTGGATGGCGCTGAGTTGCTTGTCAGCCTGGGCATCCCGAGGTGTTCCTGCAATGCTCCCCACCCCTCACCTCTCTCCGACAGGAGGAGATGCACAAGCAAAATGCTTGGGGAGGGTGAAGGGGGAGTCTAAAAAAAAATGCAAAGGCTTTCCCGCTAAGGCATCTGGCAGGTACTCTCTCCTTACCCACTCTCTGCTCTGTCAATGTATACAACTCATGCTTAAATATGAAGGAGATGCATGCTTCATTTAAGCATTTATAAACATGGCGGGGAGGACATCAAAGAACATTCTTTTAACATTACCATTCCTTCTGAAAACTCAGTAACCCGTTTGCAACAGTCTGGTAAGAAGGTTCACATTTGTGAAGATCTTTGTCCAACAAACAGGTAATGTTGCCTCATGAGGATTGCCCCTGGGACCATTCTAGGACGGTCGCATTGCTAACCTAAAGATTTGGCTTAAATCCAATCATTGGAACAACCAGGGTGTGCAAGAAAAGCTGACAGCAATAGGGTCAGCTCTATGACTTGCAGTCTATGTACCTATGAAGGATGCCCTCACACTAAACCTGGTCAAAAGGGGACTCCAGAAGATACAGACCACACAACTGGTCACACAGTTGCCAGCAACTGTCTGCTTTTCTTCTGGGTGAGGCTATGATGCCTTGAAATGTTCCACTTCGTTCTTGTTTTGAATGCACTCATGAGCGTTTTCAAAACGGAATCAAAATCGCTGTGGGCCAGCGCCTCTTTAAGACCGAGACAACGAAGGTGATGTAAGGATGGAGGACTCTAACCTACAGAGAGCTGAACTCACAGAGGCAACCCATTAAACTCTGCTGCCTCACCACAGGACAGCTCCACCCTGCCTGCTCGCAGGGTGGCAGAATGGCAGAAGCATTAACAGCCCCAGAAGTAGGCCATTCGGCCGATTGAGCATGCTAGGATCCTGATGAAGCAGGGACTACATATTGCCTTAGCCATGGTGGTGTCACAACATTAGTGATCACAGCTACAAGATCACAGGGTGGCGGCTGGCACTTGAATCGATCTCTTACAGAAACTTAACAAAGTGAGATGCGCCTCTCCCAACACAGAAACTGATGGATTTTAAAGGTTAGCGAAGACAATGGACAGTTGATCGAAGCTAATGCACTTCAGTGTGTCTGACGCAACTTAAGTGTTCTGCTAGTCAGTATTGCACTTTTCCTTGTTTTTAATTTGTGTTGTTTGTTCTCAGTTCATGAAACCGTGGAAGGAACAGGAAAAAAGAGAAAAAAAAGGCAAATTAATTATGAGCTGCAGTTCATAAATACTCCCCTTTAAAAGATTTTTTTTTGTTTCAGTTATCAATTGCAACCACACGACACTTCGGAAAACAGGTCTTTGTGAAACGTTTGAAGTTTCCCAGCTTTCTATTTTGCCCATCATTACAAGAGATAATCACCTTCAAGGAAGGTAGTTATAAATATTATTAGGCCGGGTTAAAACCCCCTGCGTAGTATTGTTTTATACGTATTCTATTCATATAGTAAGAGCTATGAAAAAAGTATTCAAAGTTGTTTATGAAATTGCTTCCTCGTTATTTGTTGTAAGATGTCCTGTATCAATATAATGCTAACACTGGCTCTTCAAAAAAGTCTGTTTTTTTTTCCTCTGTAAGCCCAGGTATAATAATGATTTTTTTTGTTTCCTTTTGTGTGTTTTGTTCTGTTGCTGTATTTATATGAGAGTGTTGTGTTTTGTGTGTGTGTTGTGTGTATGTGTGTGTTATGTGTTTGTAAATTTGATGGCCTACTGATTATTTTAACCTACTTTGTGTGTGTGTGTCTGTGTGTGTGTCTGTGTGTGTGTTTGTGTCTGTGAGTGTGCGTGTGTTTGTATGTGAGTGTGTTTGTGAGTGTGTGTGTGAATGTGTATGTGTATGTGTGTGTGTGTGTGTCTGTGTGTGTGTCTGTGAGTTTGTGAGTGTGTGTGTGTGCGTGTTTATGTGTGTGTGTTTGTGTCTGTGTGTTTGTTTGTTGTTGTTTCTGTTGCGGAGGGTGTTCCTGTGTTTTATTTTCTCTTTCTCTCTCTCTCTTACACTCTCTCTCTCTCTCTCTATCTCTCTCTCTCTCTCTCTCTTTCTCTCACTCTGCCTTCACGATTTGTGGGTCTTGCTGGTCTTGAAGGACACCTGTAGCACCCGGTCTCCCAGGCGGTAGCCGTTCAGGCTGGCGATGGCCATTGCTGCCTCGTCGTAGTTGGTCATGGTGACGAAACCAAAGCCTTTGCACTTGTTGGTGTTGAAGTCGCGGATGACCTTGACATTGGTGACCGCCCCGAAGGGCCCGAACAGCTGCCACAGGACGCTCTCGTCCGCCTCTGGGGAGAGGTTGTACACAAAGATGCACCAGCCGGTGCCCGCTGGGCCGGAGAGGTTGACGCCAGCGAGGCTCGTCATGCCCTCGATGGTGATCGGAGAGAACCTGGTGGACAGAGAGAGAGGGCTGCTTGGATGTGAATCAGATCTTTGACCACTTCTCATACATACACACAGCACATAGAAATATACATTACACATAGACCAACACTTAATGCTGAACTTCTAACTTCACTTCTCTACTTTATAAGGGCTGTAATGTTGAACTTTTAACTTTTTCTACTTTGCACCGATGTACCTTTGTACCTAAGATGGTTGGGGAATTGAGTACAAGCCCCATGCAGCCTCCCTCCTTGACCTGAAACAACCTGTCCATCTTCTCTCCCATCTATCCACCCCACCCTTCCCACTGACCAATCCCCACCACTCCCTACCTGCACTCACCTATCACCATCCCAACTACCTTCCCCAGCCCCACCCCTCCTCCCTCTATTTACTTCAGAGTTCCCTTCCCCTACCCCCATTTCTGAAGAAGGATCCCGACCCAAAACGTCAGCTTTCCTGTTCCTCTGATGCTGCTTGGCCTGCTGTGTTTATCCACCTCCACACCTTGTAACCTCTGACTCCAGCATTGGCAGTTCTTACTATCTCTGCAGCTTTATAAGACTTTGGTTAGGCCACACTTACAATATTGCATTCAGTTCTGGTTGTCACATTACAGAAAGGATGTGGAGGCTTTGGAGAAGGTGCAGAAGAGGTTTATCAGGATACTGCCTAGATTAGAGGGTATGAGCTACGAGGAGAGGCTAGAAAAACACGTGTTGTTTTCTCTGGGGCAGCAGAGGCTGAGGGGAAACTTGATATAAATCTGTAAAATTATGAGGTGCATAGATAGGGTTGACAGTCAGAATCTTATTGCCAGAGTGGAAATGTCAAATACTAGGGAGCGTGCATTTAAGGTGAGAGGGGGAAAGTTCAAAGGAGATGTTAGTGGCAAGGTTTTTACACAGAGAGTGGTAGGAGTCTGGAACCCACTGCCAGGCGACGGTGGTGGAGGCAGACGTGATAGGGGTATTTAAGGGGCTTTTAGATAAGCACATGATTATGCAAGGAATGGAGGGATATGGACCAGGGACAGGCAGAAGGGATCAGTTTAATTTGGAACAAAACCAAAGTTGTTGGAAAAGCTCAGCAGGTCTGGCAGCATCTGTGAAGAAGAAAAACAGAGTTAACGTTTCGGGTCCGGTGACCCTTCCTCAGTTCTGAGGCACGGTGGCTCAGTGGTTAGCACTGCTGCCTCACAGCGCCAGGGACCTGGGTTTGATCCCACCCTCGGGCGAATGTCTGTGTGGAGTTTACACATTCTCCCCGTGTCTGCGTGGGTTTCCTCCAGGTGCTCCGGTTTCCTCCCACCGTCCAAAGATGTGCAGGTTAGGTGGATTGGCCATGCTAAATTACCTGTAGTGTTCAGGGATGTGTAGATTAGGTGGGTTATCGCGGGGTGGGTCTGGGTGGGATGCTCTGAGGGTCAGTGTGGACTTGTTGGGCTGAAGGGCCTGTTTCCACACTGTAGGGATTCAATGAAATAAAACCTAATTCTAATTTTAATTCAAGCAGCAGACACACTGTTTCAGGGCTATTGAGGGCATCGGTAAGCTCAGTTGGCTGGATGGTTTATGATGTAGTGTGATGCCAATACTGCGGGTTCAATTCCCCCACTGGCTGAGGTTACTGTGATCCTTCTCAATCTCTCCCTTCACCTCAGGCATGGTGACCCTCTGGCTAAACCACTATCAGTCACATCTCTCTAATAAGAGAACAACCCTCTAGGTCAATGGTGATTTTACCTTTCACCTAGTTATAGATCGCCCATGTCTTTCCATGTGTACAGTCACGATCTCCCTTCTCTGTGGTTCCATTGATTTGGGTATCTCTGGCTGGGCCATCCATTAATTGTCCATCCCTATTTGCCCTGGAGAACGTGGTGGCAAGCTGCCTTCCTGAACTATTGGAGTCCTTGTGCAGGGTGCAGTGGGTGTGGGTGGAATGCTCCTCAGAGGGTTGGTGTGCACTCGATGGGCCGAATGGCCTGCTTCCACACTGTAGGGATTCTATGATTCTGTGTACATATGCCCGCAGATGCCATTAGGGAGGGTGTCCCAGGATTTTTAACCCTCACCATCAGCATTGCTGGGTTGAAGTTCTTGAATTCCCTCCCTAACAGTATTGTGGGTACCCCTACACCACAACACCTAACATAGTAATGACCACGTCAATTGTGAATGTATCTGGTTCACTGGTGTCCTTTTGGAAGGAAGTTGTTGTCTTTACCTGGTCTGGCCTACATGTGACTCCAGACCCACAGCAATGGGGTTGATGCTGCCCTCTGGGTAATGAGGGATGGGCAATAAATGCTGCCTAGCCAGCGATGCCCTCATCCCATGAATGGATATAGAGAAGCCAGCTCACCACCATCTTCTCAAGGACAATTAGGGACTGGCTCAAAAAGACCAGTCAAGTGACGTCCACATTTTGTGAACAAATATGTTTTTTTTTAGAAAAGGTTGTAATATTGGAAATATCAGAATCATTAGTTTGTCCAGCAGCATTTTTTGGCTGTTGGCGCGTATAGCTACAGAATTGCCTAGAGAACACCAATTGGCTATACCCATCCTTTTCAATGTTCTATGAATATTATTCAACATTTTCTCATGTGTACATCCCCTACAGCTTGCTGATACATCTCCCAATTCTTCTTAGAATTCCTAGAGTGTGGAGAGGGGCCATTCGACCCATCGGGTCGTCATTGCGCCTCCAAAGAGCATCCCATCTAGACCCACCCCTGTAACCCCACGTTTACCATGGCCAATCCACCCAGCCTGCACATCATGGGGTGATTTCTGCACGGCCAATCCCACCCTAACCTGCACACCTTTGGCCTGTGGGAGGAAACCGGAGCACCAGGAGGAAACCCACACAGACACTGGGAGAACGTACAAACTCCATACAGGTAGTCACCGAAGGCTGTGAATCAAACCTGGGTCCCTGGTGCCATGAGGCAGCAGTGCTAACCACTGAGCCACCCACTTTGCAAATACTGTAGCTGTCCACAGCACTGGCAAAGTCGGAGCCCAAACATAATTCTTGATACTAGCAAGGCAGGTGTTCTGTTGAACAAGGCGCCAAGCAGCATTCCTTAATGTTCAATTTGGGACTGCGATTATTGGTGAACTCGTGGATCACCTCTTAGGTGTTTGGACAAAGACACATTGATGTTTTACAGCAGTGGCCATTTGGTTGGATAAGCGTCTGCTGGTGTTCATCCATGCAAACGCCTCCTCTTAACCCACCCTAATGTAACACTATCAGCTGTTTAATTTAAAAGCATATCATGCTGGTGCTGACCCATGCAAAACAGAAATTCCACTATCACTACTTTTCCTACTCTTTTCTCCCTGATACACTTATCTAACTTCCCCTTATCTTCACTCCAATAGCTTCTACCGAACAGCAATAGGCTCTGCGTTCTCTGGGTAACTAAAGGTTTCTCGAGAATTCCCTTTTGGATTTATTCGTGACTGTCTGACATCGATGTAACACAGCGTCCTGTAACATCACCCAGTTCAGGGAAACAGTGTTGGACGTAACGTGCTTAAAGAATTGTTCGTCTTGTCTAGTTTGTATTCTCGGTACAGAGCGGGTGGTGGATTGAACCTTAAGCCGTGCACCTTCCAGCAACTAGCTCAGAGTGGGAAAGGACTTGGAATCATCAGCAGATGACCACTGTATCAGGTGATCGGGGTGGCTGGGGTGGGAAATGGTCCCTCACAAACACTTTAAATGGATTCTGTCATCAATGAGACCTATTGAGTAGACCCTTAGGAAAAGCCTGGAAACATTGAAAATGAGGCATATTGTTAAAGTGGACATCTTGTGGTGCAGTGGATAGTGGCTTGGCTTCTGAGTCAGTAGTTGTCCAAGTTGAACCCCACTCCAGGACCTGAGTGTGGAGACTATGTTCACCACACAGCCACAACACGTTGGGATATCAACCAGTAAATCCATGGCAAGGACAAAAACAGAGAGATTCCTGGTCAGGCATGTGATGGAAAAGAATTGGACGCACCCCCCCCCCAACCTATTTATCGCTGTATTTTTTGCATGTAAGGTGCATGTCGCCACAGCAACTGAGTGAACATCAAATCGTTGTACGAGAGAAGATCAACAGAATAGACATCACAAATTCAGACTCCACTATAATGAGTTGTGCCTTGAACAACACCTGGTAATGTATGAGCCGATAACTGGGAAAACAATACACGGTGACAATAAAATTGGCCAGGAGCTTGCCAAACCCTAATCGGTTCAATTGCATCACTTTGCGTCTTGTTTCACACTAGATTGTTGCCTTTTTAAGCCCTCTGCAATGACCCAGCCAACCATTGAGAAAGACCACCAACTTCTTGGGGCAATTAGGGATGGGCAATTATTACAGTCGCAGGAATGAATGAACCTTGCCGAAAAGAGAGTCCATATTGCGGAAGTCACTCATCAGAACACACGCAAGAATGCCAAATTCCAAACCATTATGATTTATACTGCTGATTGGTTGGCAAGTCAATTCTAATTGGCCCAGGCACCTCCATAGCGAAAGCAACGGGGAATTATAAACTCACCAAGCTCCAGGATAATTCAAATAAAGGAGCCAAAATTTGAACATATTCCTTTGGCTTGCAGAGCCAAACTTGTCAACTGTTCCTCCTGTGGTTTAAATTGTTGTGACCATTTGAAATTTGGAATTCTGGTGTCTGTCCTTATGAATGCAAGATGAGAAACCTCAGCAACATGCCTCTCTGTTCAACAATATTTGAGGTTTAGTCCAAATTATCAAACAAGTTAGAGTGCAGCGATTATAGTTCACAGAATGGGAAATGCTTCAACGTAGTCCCCTTCTTCATGATGGAGAACCACTGAGCTAACAGAATGGTCTAGGCATTCATAGTGGACAACATCATTCTTGACAAGATGGTATGGGGGCATGTGTTTTTTTGAATTCATTCATAGAATGAGCGTGTGTCTCTGGCTAGGCCAGCATTTATTGCCCAT